TGTGCAAATTCCAAAACCAAAAAAAATGTAATTGCTACAGAGAATTGCATCTCAGCAATAGGGAAGATTTTGAAGTTTAAACCTAACTGTGTAAATGTAGACGAAATTCTTCCACACTGGTTATCATGGCTTCCACTGCATGAAGATAAAGAAGAAGCTATTCAGACTTTGAGTTTTCTCTGTGACTTAATTGAAAGTAACCATCCAGTTGTGACAGGTCCAAATAATTCCAATCTTCCCAAAATAATCAGTATAATTGCAGAAGGAAAAATTAATGAGACTATTAATTATGAAGATCCTTGTGCTAAACGCCTAGCTAATGTTGTTCGTGGAGTACAGACTTCTGAAGAATTGTGGTTGGAATGCATATCCCACCTTGATGATGAACAGCAGGAAGCTCTGCAGGAGTTGCTCAATATTGCTTGAAGCACTTTAATATCACTTAACTATCATCTACTATAAAATAACTACAAATAAATGTAGATTCCATTATAAATAAGAAAACTTCCTGCCAACGAGTTTCTATTTTCCCCCCATGTTTCTCCAGGATTAGTGTTACAGTCTTCTGTTTATCTTGCATGTTTTATCTCTTAAACATGGACTTTGGTAATAATCTGTGCTTCCAGTTGTCTTAGAATGTTTTTCACCTTTCCTCTTTGATGTGAAATATAGAAATTGTTGCTATTTGTCTGAACTATAAACGTGGGGCAAGCAGTATACTGTACTTGGTGCTAGGATGTCGTGCTGTCACAAGAAGCTAAAAGCTCACAAAGACAAGATAGGAGAACTTTCAGGACAAAGATCTTTGCAATGAAGGATTAGAAATATAGTGGTAGATTTAGTCTTCCTTTTGTAATACTTCTGTTTTATGCTAATGCGAGGATGCACTAACTGGGAGACTTTTTTAAGATACTGCAGTGATTGTAGGAGTTTTCCCTGTAAAATATGTGAAGTTTTTCTTATTGTACTCCAGAGAACTGGGCGAAATATATCCATTCTAGGTTTCTAAGTTATCCTTCGGAGAGTTATGACTACTTTGAAATCACCTTAGCCAAACTGGTCTCTATTTGTTTATGTTACCCAGAATTTTAAGAATCATGCTTAATGAAAAGAAAATCCTGGTACATCTAACACTGGTAGCATTTAAGGTACTGTAACAGTGTTTTGACAGTTTGACAAACAGTAATATTTATGGGAGCCAGTGTTAGGTGTTTCAACAGTGTATTGCTTTGTGGTAATATAGAATTTTCCTTCTGCAAAGCAGCTCAAGAAGAAAGGCCTTGAAATTCAAAATGCAGCTGAAACAGATTTCTATTTTGAAGAACTTAACATTCTATAGTAGCACTGAAGAGTTCCAGTTGTGAAAATGAAACAACTTAATATTATATTTAAATATTAAAACAGCATTGAGAGTAGTCATTTGTCATTGTATATTATAAGAAAACAATTCTATAAATCTAGGATTAATTATATTAATTGGAATATCAGTCTTTAGTGTTAAGCTTCTTGTAGGTTAGAAAAAGGTTTTTATTCAACAAATTATCAATTCAAAATTCAAATAAATACTGTACATCTATCATGACTTCCTGGAGCTATTGTGAGTACTGTGTATTTAAGATCTAGTAAGAGCTAAATAAATAATCACTGTTACTGCTGCCATTTGTACCTGTAATATATTCCTTTCTACAGTTTAGAATTTCTTATGCTTTGGGATTTTCCTGTTTCACTCCCTAGCAGTTCAGATGATAGGCCAGTTAGGTCATTGTGTTTAGGGATACAAAGTTTGATATCGTAAATATGCAATTTCTACCTGTTACATAACATTTATTATTAATGGGGCGGAGAGAAAGTTAAGGACATTATATATAGTATGGTCACAATTTTATTTAAAATATAGGTGAATAAATAGAAAAATACCTCCTCAACGTTTTAATAGAGGTTTTCTCTAAGTGGTGGGAATAGCAGTTTTTCTTTTCACCTAACTGTATTTCCTAATTTACCTAACAACCAACATTTCTTGTATGATAAAATGTTTTTTAAGTTCAAGTATATGATCCTTTTATAATATCTAAGACTACTATCATCATGACTTTTCATGAACTAGAACTGAAGTTCTACTCACCTTTCTCTTTTACATTAAGAAACCTTGATCGACATTTCTAGCAACTTTATACACTCTTGTGTTTGAAGAATTATAAATTCTGCCAGATAACTTGGAAGTAGGCTCCTGGAATTTTTGAAGTATGACAGACCTAGTAGTGAATTTTGGCAAACTACTTTCTTAACACAAGTGTTAATCTTCCCTGTCTGCAAAATGAAGATAATAGTTTATAGCTTTGTTGTGAGGATTAAAGGAAATGATGAACATGAAGCAATTAGTGGCACAAGGTTCAATAAATGGAAGCTATTTTGAGAGAGTCATGAAATAGGGCTGGTACCTAAAAAGAAGGGGATACTATATTTGCTTGGGTGGCTTGGGATTTAAATTCCTGGGCTTTGTCAAGGATGTCCAGATAGATGCATAATTGTCAGGTGCTGAAGTAGAGCTGGTTCCCTGCCCCTTTCCCCCATGAACAAGAGGTCTGTCTACAGCATCTGAGGAAAAACAACCCTGGAAATGTCATAAATTATACATTTTTATAGCTTGAGAGAAGACCTTGAACACAGATGAGTGTGTTTGTGTGTGTGTGTGTGTGTGTGTGTGTAAGGACTTTAAACACAATTACTTCCATTTCACTATTTTAACAACAATATCTACTTACCAGACTCTGCAACAACAACAAAAAACTTTGAGGTTTTGAATTTTATCAGTTATTTAAATGCTACAGTAATGGTAAGTAAAGGTCTATCCCAACTATTAACTTATGTAACTTTATTTTTTAAATACATGATTTCTATAGTTTTGGGTTTCTTGTTTCAAGTAAAAAAACTAAATAGAAAAGATGTGCATCTTTCAAATAGACCATGAAAAATAGTATTTGGTTTCTGCGATCATACAGTCCTCCCTACCCACTTATTTTAACATGTAAATTAATACGAATGAGGACATTGTATTTAGTAATTTAAACAGTAATTTTAAAATGTGTAGTGAGATTGTAAAGCAACACCAATGACTAATGTACAGCTTAGACTTGAAATATTTAGACTGGTTTTTGGCCTGAAGGTTTTTTATTTCATTTATTTATTTTTTAAGGTTTTTAATTTTAAAAACAGTTCCATTCCCTTCATTTGTAGCAGAACTCAAGGATATAGATGGAGGAAATGTTTGATTCAACGGACAACAGTTCATTTCCAAATTATTAATTTATATTAACTAGGAACAAGAATTTCAGGAATTAGAGGTGCATAAATCACCTTTTCTTTCACATGTGATTATACAGTTGAGTCCCCTTCCACGTCTAAATTTGCAAAATTCTGGCAGTCACTAGGAAAAAGGGGTGCAAACGGGGTGTAAATTTTACAAGGGAGATTTACATTTTGGGCTATTAACAAAGGTTATCCTGCAGCTTCCTTTCTACTTTACTTTTTAGGACTGGCAAAGGTCTAGCAAAAGGACCATCCTTTTACGGTACCAGCTGTTAGAATGGCCTCTAGCCACTTTGTCCGGCTACTGCTGCTGCGCAGGCACTCTGCTCCCTTTCCCTCTGCCTCTAACCGTTGTCCGCGATCTGATGACATCATTAGTACGCGCAGCAAACCTTGCCTCCAGTCGCTTAGTGCAGCCAAAGTCCTTGCTTTCGCATAGCGGGAC